AATGAATTGCCAGCTAATCCTGTATCTGTCCAGGATATTAGAAAGGATATCTTGCCAGCAAAACAAATGCAACAAGAAAATGTTCAATCCAGTTCAGGCAATAATAAGAATCATGCACATATGGAGACAGAGGCTAACCTGGGGGTGAATAATCCTACACTTCCTGTTACTGCAGTAAAACATGCACAACAAAAAGTGGCTGATACTCAAAATGTCAGGCAGGGGGATTTTGGATTAGCAACTCTGCATCAATTTTCTTCCCCTACAGTAAATGCTTCAGGGTTTACAAGTGTTAGCAAAACAAATGTTGCTAGAAGAGTAATAGCTAAAGCTTCAGGGAATTCTATTCAGGCATCTCATTTCTCACCTCTGGGCTCTCAAACTCTTGATTTTGATCCCTATTATGTTGACAGGGGTGGAAGTTAGTAATGCACTTCTCAATTTGGAATATCAGGGGGTTTAACAAATCCCCTAAGCACTTGATTGTGAAGCAATTCATACATGATTATAAACATTCCTTTTTAGCCCTTCTAGAGACAAAGCTTTCTTCAGCAAAAATGGATGATATAGCTCATAAAATTGCTAAAAATTGGGAATGGACTTCTAATGTTCAGGAAGCTGGCAATGGGAGGATTTGGCTCCTCTGGAATAAAGATATTCTTTCTGTTCAATGTGTCAGAGCTTCAGTGCAATTTATTACTTGTTCTATACATTCAAAAGACAGCAGAATTTCTTGCTTAATGTCTATAGTCTATGCTCTCAACCATAGAGAAGATAGGAAGTCACTATGGCAGGACCTCCAAAACTTCAAATCATCAGTAAACTGCCCTTGGTTAGTCGGGGGAGACTTCAATGCTATTCTCAGTGATGAGGAAAAACTGGGTGGTAAGCCAATTTCTGAGGCAGATACTGAAGATTTTCAGAATTTCATCTCCTCTAGTCAGCTTACACATATCAAGACCACGGGGTGCTTCTACACTTGGAATAATAAACAAGGGACTGATACTAGAATATGGAGCAGATTAGATAGGGTATTGGTCAATGAATCTTGGATCCTACAATATACATCAAGCCAAGTAGAGTTCTTGCAACCAGCTTATTCTGACCATTCTCCAGCACTTTTGATAATTGAATATGAGATTTTCCAGGGGAAAAAACCTTTTAAGTTTTTCAAGATGTGGACAAAACACCCAGAGTTTCTCTCTACTGTCAAATCTGCTTGGGATAAGGAGATACAGGGATATTACATGTATAAGATACATTCAAAGCTCAAACTTCTCAAGCCAATGTTAAAGGAGCTAAATAAAAGGAACTTCATGAATATTAGTAAGCAGGTGTTAAGAGTCAAGCATGAGCTTACTGATACACAATATAAGTTGAGCACTGACCTGTTCAACTCTCATCTTATTCTCAAGGAAAAGGAATGCTTAAAGAAATATTCAACTCTACTACAATGTGAGGAATCTTTTTACAGACAGAAAGCTAGCATCAATTGGGCTGTGCATGGTGATAAATCTACTCAATTCTTCCACTCAATCATGAAAGCTAGGAGACATCATAACAGGGTGCTATCCCTCTATATTGAGAATGATACTAGAACTTCTGATATGCCTACAATCATCAATGAACTAACTGAGTATTATAAAAGTCTTCTAGGTTCTTATGGTAACTGTGATGAGCCTAATCCAAATGTCATTGCAAATGGTCCTATTTTATCTGCAAATCAAAGAAGTTTGCTAGCAGCTCCTGTCACAAGGGAGGAGATTAAACAGGCTGTGTTTACAATGTCAGATGACAAAAGCCCTGGGCCTGATAGATTCAGTGCTTCTTTTTTCAAAGCAGCTTGGAGTATCATTGAAGATGAAATATGCAAAGCTATAGAGGAATTTTTCCATTCTGGTAAACTTCTTGGTGCCTTTAACTCCACCTCCATTACTCTAGTACCTAAAATTCTTAACCCAAGATCACCAGCTGATTATAGGCCTATTTCATGCTGCAACTGTATATACAAGATTATTTCCAAAATCATTACTGCAAGAATACAGAAAGTGATTGGGTACTTGATTGATAATGCACAGAGTGCATTTGTAAAGGGAAGGCTCATCTCCAATAATATACTGTTGGCTCATGAACTTCTCAAACACTATGGAAGAAGACATAATTCTCCAAGAGCTGTTCTTAATGTTGATCTGAGGAAAGCTTTCGACATGATAAACTGGGGGTTCATCAGACATATGCTGACAGGGCTTGGATTTCCTAGCAATATGATCAAGTGGATAATGGAATGCATTTCAACTCCTAGATTTTCATTATCACTAAATGGTTCCTTGCATGGATACTTTGAGGGATCTAGAGGGCTAAGACAAGGGGATCCATTATCTCCATTTTTATTTGTCATAAGTATGGAATATCTATCTAGAAAACTGAAAACCCTCAGCTCAGACAGAGGATTCAAGTACCATCCAAAATGTGCTAGAATGAATATTACTCACTTGACATTTGCCGATAATCTGCTGCTTTTTTGTAAAGCTGATTTGGACTCAATAGCTAAGATACATAGCTGTTTTCAAGAATTCAGCAATGTCTCAGGGCTGGAGGTTAATTCTAGTAAAAGCTCAATCCTCATGAGTGGTATTGATGATAACGCAAAGGTGCAAATATGCACATTCTTAAACTTCACAGAGGGCTCCTTGCCAATGAGATATTTGGGCATGCCACTGATCTCTAAGAGGCTCTCCTTTCTTGATTGCTCTCCTTTAATATCTAAAGTCTCTGATCAACTCCAATCTTGGCAGAACAGGAGACATTTGTCATATGCGGGAAGAATCCAACTAATAAAATCTGTTATCATGGGAATTCAAATCTATTGGACAAGCAACTATATCCTTCCGATAAAGGTTTTAGAAAAGATCGATAAAATGTGTTCTGCTTTCCTATGGGGGAGCAAAATACATCTAGTTTCCTGGTCAGAAGTATGCAAGGATAAAGAACATGGAGGATTGAGTCTCTTCACTGCCAGGTATTGGAATTATTCAGCAGGTATTAAACTACTATGGATGATACATGCTAAAAAGGATTTATTGTGGATTAAATGGGTCCATGAGAACTATTTACAAAATCAGAGTATATGGCAAATTCAACCGAGGAAAAATGACTCTTGGATGTGGCGCCAGCTCCTAAAAGTGAGAGACTTGGTGATCAACAGATTTGGAAGTATGGGGAATATTCAAGGTGTTCTTGATAGCTGTCTCAAAGATGGTAACATTCAAATCTCTTCTATATACAATGCTATTTCTTACTCTTCAGCTACTGTAAACTGGTCGAAGTCAGTTTGGGAGGGCTTGCACTATCCCAAACACTCTTTGATAATGTGGCTTGCCATCCTCTCGAGGCTGCTGACTAAAGATAGGCTATATCGCATGAAGATCTTGGAAGCTAATCAGAATCAATGTGTATTGTGTACAGGCTCTGCAAACAGGCCTGAATCTAAAAAACACCTCTTCTTCGAGTGTCAATACTCAGCTTCTGTCTGGAATGAAATGATGGAATGGTTAGGCTTTGCATGGAGATCATGTGGTTGAGATTGTGTGATGAATTGGTTTAATAACAACCTGAAGGGTCTAGGATTTATGAAGAAGATGAAAAGAATGGTGCTGTCAGCAACAATATATTGGATATGGAAGGAGAGGAACTCAAGAATTTTTCAGCAAAAACTGTCAGCAACAATATATTGGATATGGAAGGAGAGGAACTCAAGAATTTTTCAGCAAAAATGTAGAAGTCCCGATCAACTTGTGAGGGAGGTGAAGATTTCTGTCCTTATGAAAGTGCTGCAAGAAAAAGTTCCAGACCATTTGAGAGAAAGAATAAATAGTTTGTAAATAATTAGTTTATTGTTCTTGGTTGCCAGACCATTCTGGTTCTTCCTGTGCTCTCATTTCAAAAATCGGGAAAATGAATAAAAATTTTTCATTTACCAAAAAAAAAAAAAAAACTCCCACTAATCCCCTTCCAATTTCGGTTCACATGGTTTGTTTAATACGAGGGCTATGAGCCTTGTTTTTGTTGATTTTGTTTGGACGTGAGAGGAGAAACTGAAAGGAAACAATTTGATGAAATCTAGAAGAAATTTGATCTCAAAATGCTTTATTTTGTATTATGGGTTGGTTTTGATTTTAATTTTCAGTATGGAAATTTTGGTGGAGAGGAGGAGAAGGGAGCAGGTTTGTACTTTTAATTCAAGATTTGATTTTTTTTCATTTCAATCATCAATTTGTGGAAAATTAGGGTTGAAGATCAGGAGGAAAATAATCTCTTGAATCGTTGACATCATGATCTACCTCATAGATTTGATTTTGGCTAGATTCTGATTTGTCTTGTGATCATCCTCACAGCCAAACTTAAGTCTTAGCACAAAACCCCTTGGTACTACACTTGCTAGTGTTATCTCTTCTCAAAACTACAACGGTGTTTTTAAAACACTTTAGGAGAAAAAACAAAACATCAATGTGTTTTTCTAGAAAAACACAACACCAAAAACACATTGCTAACCAAACAAACCCAATTAAGTTAAACTTATTTGTATAAATTTTTAGCAATTTACCAAGGATTCCTAAGGATCCTAGATCTAAGTCTACTTGGATCCATGTCAAGAGAAATCATGAGCTGTCAAATACAATTAAAAATACATTAAAAACTTTGATTGAGATAACAAACATTCCTTCAGCTCATATCCATAACAAATTACCCAAATTCATAAATATGCCCGCAAAGTCGCACGCTTAAAATCAATAATTAAAGATTCAATCGAATTCACTACCTCAAAAAGAGAAAATAAATAATAATAATAATACAATTTTAATATTGAACTACATTCTTCAGGGGGGTGTCGGGGGTCCGGTGGGGAACAAATAAACAAAACAAGCATTACATTCTAATTAATACATAATAACAAGGAAAAAAAGAGGCATAAACACATAAAAACAATTAAACTAATTTAATTAACTCCTCTCCGGCCAACTAATCCTAGGCTCATAAGCACCCCCTTTCTTCTTCAAATACTCCCCGAAGTCCATCCCTCCCCCCTCCACTTTCTCCCTCGATACCCACCCAATCCCACCCGGCAGAATCCCGACACTCCTAAAGGCCCAAGTAAGCGTCGAAAGCCCAGCGAAGCCCATGATAACAGCGACGCCAAAGCTCACCATGGAAGCAGCAAGGAGAAAGGCAGCAGGAACTATAATCGGGCTGAAGAGAAGCATGAGGGGCGCCGCGATGAGGAGGAGGGTCGTGGTTGCCAGCAGAACGAAGCCCATCATGCCCAGCAGAGGGCCGCCGACGATGACGCTGGCGACTGTGGCGTACAGGACGGTGGTGCCCGTGATCTCTGCCATTAATTTTTTATACTCTCTCTCTCTCTCTCTCTCTCTCTCTCTCTGAAGTTTGTATGGGAGAGGATGCGATGGGGGTGTATATGTACAGAGGTGGAGGGAGGGAGGGAGGGCATGGCACGGCACACGTGTGAGAAGCTCAAGTCTTTGGATCGACGCGTGTGGAGCTGGTGACGTGTGTGTTTCTGTAGATGCCTATCCGTAATGTTTACTGTTTATTAATGTTACCATAGAAAAATTTGGCTTGTTATGGTTGCATGTTTTTCTATAAAGAGAGTTTAATACCTCAAATGAAGAGCATCCGTCGTAAAGTCACAAAGGTATGGCATGATCCGAAAGATCAAATAAATTTTTCTTAGAAAACCTTCTAATCTGAATCCTTCTTTTCTTATTACTATTTTTTTTTGGAAAATTGCTTCAAGACCCCAAAACTCAATTTCTATTGTGCTGCAGCCCCCATTACTTTCCCTAAATGTACTGCAGCCCCTCCTTTTAAAATAAACTAGTTGGATTGCACGTGCAATGCACGTGGTAAATTTTTAAATTTATTAGTTTATTATTGATTCATTTTATTATAATTTATTTAATTTAATCCATGTTTCAAACAAATAATCCTTATTACAACATAAATAATCCTGAAAGTAGAAACCCCTGTAGGTTTTAAACAAATGTCTGTACAAGTATTATAGTAGTTTTTAGACGGTGAACATAACCAAACAAGAAATGCAAATAAGTTCATTGTTATCACGTTTCATAAAATAAGGCGTTTTGAGATGAGCACCCAGCTGAAAGCAAAAACATTTAATCAATAATTCATAAAACATTGGCAATCTGTTTTTTCAGAGGAATACATTCACAACTATACCAAGAGCACTCCCTGCCAACAAGAAGACAATCTTAGGGATTAGAGAACACCAATACAACCACACAGATTGTGAAAATATCAGATACATACTTGGCACATAATTTCCAAGAGCAATGATAGCTGCATAGAAATAATCGAAAGAGAAGTTCCACTTGTTTGGCATCCTAATGAAGTATTTTTCAGAGGCCTGCCATTACCAAAAACCAAAGGATGAAGTCATTCCCTCATGATAGCAAATAGATGAAACCCAATCTAAAATGAAACATTTTTGGTACCTTGATGTAGGCCAGAGCTATATATATCATGCCGACCTCGCTTGTGATGCCAGGAGGGTATAAGATCAAAAAGGTGCTGTATCTGAAATTATATACTCACATTTAAATTACATGAACACATGTAAACAAGTAGGATTATGTCAAATGCAACAAACGGGTACCTTAGCCATAAGAGCCAGGATGATGCAGATCCAAACACATACTATATGACTAAAAATATTGTATTCTTGTGATTCAACAAATTGCATAACCTAGAAAAAAATCTGACATGCATAAAAAACATAAGTTTCTGCCAATAAAATAAAATAAAATAAAATAAACAAAACAATCTCTGTTTAACAGCTTGACTAAAATATCATACATATGAGATTGCAATTGCCTCATCCAGTCCTGGGGGAGGTGAGTCCAGTAACTCTCCTAGTTTGAGTTCTCCTAGCTTAACCATAACAAACTAAAATATAAGTAAAACACAAGAAACATATGCAAAAACCTCACCATATAGCAAATCCGTCTGCCAACAAATAAATTTCATATGCTGGCATAGAATATAAGAAAAATGCATAACTATGAACAAGGAGATATAATTCCACTTGTATGAATGGCATAGAATATAAGAAAAATGCATAACTATGAACAAGGAGATATAATTCCACTTGTATGAAAAGAATCATTGAACCTAAAACTTGAGCAAATCGGAGATATAATTCCACTTGTATGAAAAGAATCATTGAACCTAAAACTTGAGCAAATCGCACACTTAAGAATGAATTCCCTAAAGTAACTTTCAGCTTATTATAGAGAAAGAAATGTGCCAAAACATGTAAACCTTATGTGAGAAAGTACTGGAATAAATAGTACTCTTGAGGACTTTAATAGACAACAAAAAAAATGAATTTCTTTTAGTCATTGTTGCAATCTATGATGTCATTAAATTCTACCTGGCCAGCAAGCATTCCAAAATCTCATTATATGATTGCTTAGATTTAGGTTCCCGGTCATTTTTGTAAACAACACCTCTCTAGAGGAAACTTCATAAAAAAAGATCAAACACTTTTATGGGTGACACGCCAAACTAAATCTTCATAAATGAGAGAAATGAGTGTTGTCCAGATGAAATTGTCACTATATCAAAGCAATAATTCAATAAAAAATCATCATATCTTCATTACATTGTTTAACTTGTCATGTGTTTTTCTCAAAAGAAAATAAATGGTGTGATCGTGATGAGTAATTGAGTATATCAATAATAGCAAGAACAAATACTTGCATAGCGTGAAGGAAGAAGTTTACCTTGAATGCAATGTCTCTAGGGGCCATGGCCAATCTAGCACCTATTGACTCATAAAAATCACATTTAAGTCATCCAGACAACAAAAACAAAATTGGTAATTGTTCTTACCTGAATTAACCACCTCAGCCACTTACTCTCAGAAATCCAGCTTCTTTGTAACTTATTCTTTCCAAGCCATCCTGAAAAATAGTTTAAAACATTTAAAAGTCACACTTTGAAATTTAATTAAGGGCAAATAGCAAGCAATTGGAAATGTCAGTTGATCAACCTTAGCCAGCTTTAGAACATCTTCAGCAACATGTCTTAACAAGCCATCCCAAAATGGCGTCTTTAAGCCAATCATTGGTACCTGTTGAGACTCTAATGACCAATTTCTCAATAACTGAAGACATTCAACGCGTATAGCACAAATATTTAAAATATAAAGGCGCCCACATAAATCAGACAGTAGTAAGCTGTGTGCAATCTCAAGCAATATGTTTAAATAAAACTTTAAACCTTTCTTCTCAACATCTCCCTTTCTTCTTTTGCCTGTCAGCAGTCATGTTTAGAACATTTTGTAATGCTACCTCATCATACAACAAGCCAACCTGCAACAATATAAACACAAGGACAACAAGTTAGATCAGGTGTACATTAAAGCTAGAGACATTACAAAACATGAATGAAACAGTTAGAATGAACATGTTTGAATTCAACTTGACAAACTCATCAATAACATACATACCTTCAAATTATCGAGATCTATATGGCTTGTTTCCATGTGCATTGTTGATGTTGGTATACCTGACTTTGATATTTGTTCTTTAAAGAAACATGATGATAAATCAAACATTGAACTAAGGATGCAGAGGCATTTAATAGGAGTAGTTAAGCAGGACATAGGACATAATTTTCATGACCCTTATCTATGTGTAAATTATGTGGACATTTCATGAAATTATTTGAATTCAAGACTTCCATAGGGATAGAATACCGAAAAAGGGCATATCTTTAATCTTTAATAATAGTAATAGGTAATAGATATATAGTATGGAATAAGTGCCGTTCATATCATCAAATGCTGAAATTGATCTTAAAAATGATAAGCCATAAACATATGGCTGAACTGAAGGTAGCCTTGCATTTCAGTTCAATCTAGAAATCTGAAAGAGAACATAATATTAAGTCATGAGATGCATTAACAGAAGGATATACTTATAATGGAAGTGTCAATAATAGAACAATTGTGTTGGCTTTATAACATCGACTACAATAGTTGGAAAAATGGCTTGATGGTCGCAGACAAATGGACAATTGTTTGTTGTATCATAAGTCTTGAGATTCATTTACAGATACTTATACTGGATGTGGGAATAATAGAACAATCATGTTCGCTTTATAACTCTGACTATAGTTGCTGCGGAAAAGGCTTGAAGGTTGCAGATAAATAGACAATTGTTTGATATGTCTTGCATAGATAAATCATGTGCCAGGTTTGCTATAGCATTACAAGAATTTGGGGGATGAAGGTGTAGGGCTGAGGAGTGAGAACACTGTAATTGGATGATAGATTGAATCTAGAATTTTCATGGACTCTCATTTGTTGGTTACCTGAATAAAATAAAATAAAAACTTCATTAGGCATATAGAATAGGCTTTTAAATTTGAAATCAATATATGCCACAACTTTTCTTATATTTTTTCTGATTGCAAATGCCGCAATGAAGGGGAAAAAAATAATTTCTACTTTTGACATATTTTAGTTACCTTCATTTGGTGCAATTTTTCCCCAATATGTAGTCAACAACGCCTCTTCTTTTAATATGAAAGAAACAATAAACAGTTTATGTTTGTTTTACCCAATATGTAGTCAACAACGCCTCTTCTTTTAATATGAAAGAAACAATAAACAGTTTATGTTTGTTTTAGATAGTAAGAGTGTGAAAAATATCCATTTAATATGAAAGAAACAATAAACAGTTTATGTTTGTTTTAGATAGTAAGAGTGTGAAAAATATCCAATATTTCTTTTAGATAGTAAGAATGTCATAAATATCCTATATTTAGTGCTTCAAAGTATCTGGTTTATAATCGTGGATTAGCCAGAAACATTGAGGCTGTTTTGTTAAGAATCTTTGGGACCATATCTAGGATTTAGATTTGTGATTGTAAATGAGTGGAGAAGGTGGGATAAGCTATTAGGGGGCACAAGGTCTGAAAGATCAAAACTTTGAGTTCATGTAGCTCTGCAAGTAGTTAATGTGGAAGTTAATGAGTGTTTATTGGAGTAGGTTGGTTATGCTGTTGGAGTTGAAGCGGAAGAGTAGGGGAGTTTAATGAGCATAGAGTTTTTATTTTGATTATGCTGTTGGAGTTGAAGCGGAAGAGTAGGGGAGTTTAATGAGCATAGAGTTTTTATTTTGATTTTTTTGGGGGGTGGGGGTAGCTGAAGTGGAGTAATTTCTGTCTTTTTGTTCTTATTCTGAGAAAACTTCTTGGAGTGCGTGGTTGACAAGGTGATTTTCTGAATTACCATGGCGATTGCCAACCATAAAAATCCTAAGTGCACCACATTCCGTCATAATAAAAAAATTGGAGACGCAAAGGAAAAGACTGTGTCGATAAAGTATCCATAAGAAGTATGCGATGTAACCGTTTACATCTGAATATAACAGATCCTAAATCTTACACTGGTCATTTGTAGAAGGAAACAAGGATTACCTGTGCATATGCATTGTCTTTGTCATATTCCTTCACTCCATAGTTGTAGGTCAATTCCAACACTGCACTTCTGTCTTCAGGACCATATCCCATCATTGCTATGTATACTGAAGATTAGCACATGTAAACACATTATCAAAATTTGAATTTAAAAATAGATGATGTACTGCAAACATACATAGTATGCATGTATAAATACCAGGATCCAAAATTGTGACAAAGTGAATGTTAGAGGGAAAATTTTTTCATAAAATAGGCCTTTTTGTTTCTTTGTTTAATACATAGAAATGTGCCCAATTCTTAATAACAAATATAACTAAAATTTGCCATTCAGAACCTTATCTCTGTTAATTTTCATCACTAAAGTGTTCCCTCTCTTGACCACTGATCTCTGTTAATTATAATGTCTTGAGGAGAACTACTTTTCCTACAATCACCTCAATCTGAGGACAAACAATAAAGAGGATAAGTTACAAATTACAGGATAGAGAGGGAGAAAATTTTAGGAGATGAATATGGGTGAAAAATGGAAATAAGCATTAATCATTAGGGAAACCCGTACATGGTAATTTTCCATACCTTGACCATTCCTAGGGAGAAACCCAGTGAACGATGGGACTCCAAAATGAAGAATGTAGCCATAGTCCTCAACACTCTTCACCTGTGCTGTAAGAACCTGAGTGAACAAAATTTCTGAATTATAATCACATCATCTCAACACTCTTCACCTGTGCTGTAAGAACCTGAGTGAACAAAATTTCTGAATTATAATCACATCATTTCGTGCAATTTTCTAGCTTATTTTGTAAGAACCTGAGTGAACAAAATTTCTGAATTATAATCACATCATTTCGTGCAATTTTCTAGCTTATTCCAGACTTCCACTAAACCAAAATGTGGCTTATAGCCTTATAGCATTTGTTTCAAAAAGTTCTTAGTAACTTATATCTATTTTCAGTTACTCAATAACATTATGCACCTCATACTTAATACCTCAAAAATATAATTTTTCTTAAAGTTTCAAGTAAAAGTGCAAAGGTTATGTCCATAAGCAAATAAATGCAAGCCAGAACGTGTAAACAGTTTGCATATGAATGGGGATAAATTGTGTTGAAGCACAGTAAGAAAAAAATAAACGATGAAGAACCAAGATGTCTTCAAGAATCTGATGTTGACATTAGTGGCAAATATAAGCATTATCAGCTAAAATATCCAAAGAAAATGCAGGATAAAAAAACTTATGGCAAATCTTCGTTCGTCCTCAATGCACAGCACCAGGAGTTACCAAATTCACTGGAGGAGAAATTAATCTAGTTATTAAGGTGTTTCTGTCTGCTATTATAATTATGCAAGGTTTGTTATCTCATTCGTAGATTATAGTCCACTTTGGAATTTTTGGGTGCAATCAGATGCTACTTTTTGATGTTTATATTGTACTTATTTAAATTTCTTTTGAATTAAGTTCAGAGGATGAAGGATGCGAGATTGATGTTTTGAGGGGTTCACTAAAGTCAAAAATCAAGGACTTCGGCAGATTTATCTCTCTGTTTAAGATTTTATATATGAAATTGATTGTAATAGAATTTGTTGGTGAAGACTTCTATATGAAATTGATTATAATAGACTTTGTTGGTTAAGATCTTCTATAATGAAATCAATTGTAAGAGATGATTTGTTGGTTAAGATTTTATATATGAAATTGATTGTAATAGAACTTGTGACTAGAAATGGATTATACTATTTATTAGGAATATCATGACATTTACTTTAGATATGTTTGGGTTCTTTCATTCAACTTTCTTTCTTGAGTTAAGATTGTGCAAACATGTTCGGTAACTTGTAATTTTTTTTCAAAATATAGTAGAAACACAATTTAATTTAATTGTTTTTTATAAACTGTTTTAACTTGTAATTTTTTTTCAAAATATAGTAGAAACACAATTTAATTTAATTGTTTTTTATAAACTGTTTAAAATCTAAATCTAATTCTAAAAAGTATGAATGAAAATTATGTTGTGATAATTTTCTTCCTCATTTTCTCATAAATGTAACCAAACAAGAGAAAATGATTTTCATATGTATTTTCTTCTAACTTTCATTACAATATTCTTTCTAACCAAACAATAGAAAGAATATCATTTTCTTTTCTTTTTCTTTTCCTTTCCTTTTACTTTCTCTTTCTTTTTCTTTTCTCCCCCTTTCTCTCAAACCAAACATAGTCTTAGTATGTATATAGCCCAATGTGGGGAGGAGAGAATTGCGACAATCAACTAGGATTGCTTTTTAGGGACGAGGTCAATCTAGTTAGGTTCCCACTAGTTAATTTGGTCTCAACCTCATGAAGTTGACTAAGTTCTTGGAATCTCAATAAATGGGAAAAAGAAGTTAAAGAGAAGTCAAAGAGAAGGCAAAGATATGGGCAGCGAGAAGGACATCATTATTATCGGAGCTTTCACAGTAATGGTCGGCTGAAGCCTGAAGTCAATAAAATCCTCGACCAACTGTATGACAGTCTTAGAGGATGTCATAGCTCTATTAGTCTATTTGGTGGGCCTCGTGAGTTTATTTGAACCTTAATATATAAGATATAGATTTTGGTTTCAGTTTTTTGATTGGCTGCATAGAAGAGAGTCAGGGGATAGAACTATTGTGCACGACTAGGGCTAGGCTTTAAAAGAATTTTGAAGAACAGGCTTGATAGATTGAGAAATTTAGGGTTTGCTTCAAGTCTATTGTTTGTTCTGATCTCCGGCTGAGAAGTAGATTCAAAATATGAGACAACAACAAGCTGACTTTTGGCATGTTTTAGTGAATGTGGTGCTGTCCAACAGTGTAAAAAAAAAGGAAGGGAGGAGAAATTTATAAAAGGACAAATTTTCAAAACCAACCCATTTGAGTTTTTATTTGCAAAAAACGACCCATTTCTAGGATATTTGCAAAAACCGACCTGGTTTCAGCGTCAGCGCTGAAACCAGGTCGGTTTTTAAAAAAAAAATTCCAAAACTTCACGGGAGTTGAACTCCCGTGAAGTTTCGGAATTTTTAATTAATCTACTAAACTTCACGGGAGTTCAACTCCCGTGAAGTTTCTTAGTTCAAAAATAATTTTTTTGAATTGTGAAACTTCACGGGAGTTGAACTCCCGTGAAGTTTAGCAGCTTAATTAAAAGCTGGTAAACTTCACGGGAGTTTATTTTTTTAAAAACCGACCTGGTTTTAGCGCAGAGGCTGAAACCAGGTCGGTTTTTGCAAATTTGTTTGAATGAGGTCGTTTTTTGACAATAAATTCCTAAATGGGTTGGTTTTGAAAATTTGTCCATTTATAAAATCTGAACAGTCAAATACCTTATTGAATACTTACTCTCTGGCATGCAGTGTGTTAAGCTAGAACACAAGAGATTGGGAAATTTTGAGTGGCTAAAGGCTGTCAGCTATACTGCGGGTAAAGCTTAATGCAATAGGAGAAGCAATATGTTATAGATAAAAAAAAAAAAATGGAGAAAGAAGCAAATATAGTATCATCAAAGTCTTCTAAGTTCTTTTCAGCAACGTTCCTACAACTTTGTTCGTCCTCATATTGGCTGCACAAAGCATATCAAGACTTTTGCCTAAATTTCTATCCCCAAACAGAGAATGAACAAATGGATCAGATAAGAAGTGGCAAGCTATCATGTTTAGAAGGATTCTGTGTGGGGCCATTCTAGATGGGTTCTCGAATTAATTCACTAAATTCTGATTATATAAATCCATATTCTCATATTTGTTTCTAAATTATCCTTGATAGGATAAATTTTAGGACAAAATCTAGATGATTTATGCTTCAACATCTGTATTTGAACAACATACATATGATTTTATCGTCAATGCATTCAAACCCTCCCCTATGAAATGACCAAGATTTTGAGGGAAGCAGACATGGCGTCAATGACAGTTACTTCTGCATCAGCGAGAGCGCCTCTAGATCAGGTTGAATAGCAAACCTTATGAAGGAATTTTTCGAAAGGATTTCTTCCTTAACTAATCAGAGGGGTTCGGCTGGCCAGGTCCCCTGGAAGGGGTTGTAAAAGCAGGAGTCAACTCTACAAGAGATCCTTCTTGTTGGAGAATGTATTTGATTGGATCATCCTACTGGCTACGAGGGATCATGCAATGGAGTCATTATACAGGCGCTTAAGGAAAAAAACATGCCTTACTTGAGTAAGGAGTGAATAGATCAACCATTAGTGACCATCCTTGCAACACAGACCACGAAGTAAATTGGCGAATCTACATTATTTGTTGAGCAGTTTAAGCTCATGCAGCCTGTGGCCTACTAATTTTTCCAAACCTATAAATGTCTAGACAAAGTGGGGCTGGTAAGACTTTCTTTGGGCATTACAATTATTCTTTCAAGGCATAATTTAATTTGAAGAGTAAATTGAATCAATTCACAGGGAACATTACTCCAGTCCATGTTACATTCATCTTGTTCCAGAGCCTATTTGCTTAGTTTTTTTTTTTTTTTGGCAATAACTTATTTGTTGATTAAAATGGAGTACCCATGTCATATGGCTAACCAAGTTCTAGTATTGTATCAGATGACTTGTTGGTGTGATTTGCTTGTAGTTAGTTAAACATGGTTGGTATTTTCCAGTTAAATGAATGATCAGTTTCACCCTATATTCTTGGACTTGTCTCTGAACAACATGCAGTAGACAAATTCAACAACAAGAACAAAGCCTTCATCAAAATTTGGGTTTGGTTACATGGTTTTTTTTTCCAGCTCATTTCCACTGAGGACTTTGCATAACTAGTTTATCTGCTTCTCTACTGTATCAGTGCATATTCATCAGTTTTATACTGGTTCACAAGATCATCAATTACAATCTAGTCTCCCTGTTCATTACATTTTTTTTCCAAATTATTTTAGGTCTCAAGTGATTCTTCGTCATTTTGTGAAAGATTTGGTATTAGATGAGCCTGCAAAGTTATTAGGCTGAGGAAATAAAGAATGTCATATGGTATTAATTCCTTTCACATGACGTTATCATCAGTTGCGCGAGGGAACCAATTTTTTCGCCTTTAAGTCTGTTTGTGCATTAATTTTGGTTTTTCTCTTAGCTAGTTGTTCAATAAACTCTTAACTCTGCTTTACTTTTTCTCTATGGTCTGCCCAAGACTCCTATTACTTTCCAGCTGAAAAATATTTCCAGGCGGCTATAACTCAATGCACCTGCTGATGCCTGAAATTTGAGGACTACTTTTCATTTGTGACATCATTTTCATGTAAGAAAAACAAAAACTTTGCATAATACTATGCTGATATTACCCGTCAAAACAACTGCACAATGTGCGTGCTCTCTTAGTCAGTCACTAGCAACTGGTTTTTCATTTCTTATATTGTCTTTTTATGTCGAATGTATTTCAAGTGATAATTAGATCTGTAACAATTACCTGAGTTATGTGTTTTCCCCCACAGGAGTAGATATTAGTATGAATACCCACTTGAAGACCGTAAAACTAACTCTGAAAGGGAAAAGTCCCGTTACTCTCGATCATCTAAGTGTCAGGGGTAACAACATTCGATACTACATCTTGCCTGACAGCTTAAACCTGGAGACCTTATCAGTTGAGGAAAAACCTAGGGTGAAGCCCAAGAAGCCAACTGCAGGTATTTTGACATAGTATTGCTTTTTAATACCATCTTCCATGATATTATTTCTCTGTGATGTACTTTCTTACTATGTCGATTTTCTTGTCTTTCAGGGAGAGCTTTGGGACGGGGCCGTGGGCGTGGTCGGGGACGTTAAATGTTACTACTTTGCATATCAATTTTTGCAAAACTTGTATTTTCATATAAAACTGTATGCTCAGTTGATGAACTGTTCTAAACAGTGGAATTAGGAAGTTTGTTTTCGACAATATAGCCTTAAAATTTATGTTGGATTTTTTTGGGGGAAATTTTTGTGGAGTGATTCTGATCAGGATCTGGTACTGCTACCTTACGTAACTTCTCCGTGCGATTGGAGTAGGATCCACTGTCTGCGAATTGAATCGATGCTGTTGTGTAGTGAACATGTTCATGGTTTTGTTTTGTGATCAGTGAGACTTAGAAACTGGATTGAGTTTGCTGCCTTTAATTGTCAACTAAAGGGTTTTGTATGATTTGTTGAGATCAGGAGACGGTTACAACCGTAACTATGCTCCACAAGGTAACGCTTGCTGCACTTTGGTGCAGAAATATTCTTCATATGAAGATGACCATTCGGATTTTGATGAAATGGCTGTGCTTTGTTTTCAGGATTCATGAATGCTGTTAAATCTTCTGCTTTTGACTTAGATACGAGTTCGCTGTTTGCATCATCCTCTACCAAATGCAGTAGTTGGTTTCATTGGCGCAGAGTCTAAGAAATCTCTACAGGTTCATTGTGAAATTCCCGTGTCAAGGAGTAGAAATTTGATTAGAACATTTGAATACGGGCAGGTGATACGGACTATGGAAGTAAATGACTGACAAAAATACCATTATGTTACAAGCATATGAGATATCAACGCATAAAAATTCTTTCATACTGAGTCAAGAGTCAAGACTACAGTCCCTGAAGAAAATAACTATTTCAATTGCAGTTTAAGTAGATTGGTAGCAGTCTTTTAACTCAGTAAAAATATATAGATGATACAATTATCTCACGGTATTCAATTCGAAAAAAAGGTAAAATTAATGAATCCCAAGTAAATGATTCTATACAAAACAAAATGGTACAGATAACATTGTCTTGGGGGGACTTACTTCAAGAACAAAATCACCGTGAGCCACAATTTATTCTCCACGAAAGTGCTAGCATCTATGACAGTACATCTTCCATTACCAACGAATATCGATACTTTTTGAGCAGCAGGAAGAAGTAATTTGAATTTCACAAGTTCAATTCAAAATGTTATGCTGCACTCCTTTCAGCTCATGCTTAGCAGAAATAAAGTGGGTTTCTCTTTCTTTCACTCAACAATCTTCGATTTCCCTTTGATTTTTTGTGACGACGCCAAGGATTTAAGAATTGTCGGAGATGGCTTTCTTACAGTGTGAGTTAAAAGAAGCATTAGCGTCAGCAAAGTCAATGCTCCAGCTTGATGGGCTGAGGCAAGAGAAACTGGAACATAATATAGAAGTGTCGAAATACCCAGGGTCACCTGTAATTGTGGAACAGATCACAAGTTGGCAGAAGCAGAGTGATTTTTGCAACTAATGAAAGTGAAATTTACTTCTCAAACGCTTGATGGTAGCACAATAGCAAAACCAGAGAGTTTTCAAATTAGTGAAAGTGAAATTTACTTCTCAAACTCTTGCCAATAGAAAAACAAAAGCTAAACCACATTCTGGTGGATTTTTCTTAGTTCAGACTGTCAACAAACTATTCAAAATGTATTAAGTTGATTAACACTGTTCAAGGAGCTAACTAATCTTTAGGAAATTATCACTCTGTTTATCTTGTAAGTTTGAAATCCTGAGTATTGCTGAGCAATCTCTAAGAGGGGTTTGAAATAGTCAATAA